GAAGAAAAAGACCGATGCGAGGATCCGGTACAGATGCCAGCGAGCGATCACCTTCAAAGTGTTGGGGAAGAACTTCTCTTTCCCCTACATCCACAGGTGAGTGCGAAACTTGTGGGAAAGAACGGGAGGGGTGAAGATTGGGGATATCGGCAATGGCTTCTACCAGGCAATCTTTGATACCCAACTCGATCATGATCGAGCCCTCTATGGAGGGCCCTGGATGATAGATGATCACTACATCGTCTCGGAGCCTTGGCGGTTGGACTTCGACCCAGATTTCGACACTATCAACAGAATGAGTGTTTGGGTAAGACTTCCTAGACTCCCACTGGCTTACTTCGATGAAGACATCTTAACTGATATTGGTAACAAGCTGGGTAGGCTAGAGAAGATTGATTACAACACAGAGAATGGGGTTAGAGGAAACTATGCCAGGCTATGTGTGGAAATTGATTTACGAAAGAGGCTTGTCCCCAAATATAGACTGAAGCGGCGTGTGCGACGAGTTGAGTATGAGGGGCTACATGAAATTTGCTTTTAGTGTGGAAAGTATGGACACTTCTTGGATGCCTGTCCAGGAAAAATACCAGCAGCAGCTAATGAACCAAGTGTGCACACAAGTGGGGAAAAAGAAACACAGCAGGCAGCGGAAATGAACAACATCAGGCCTGAACTTCTTGAAGACTTCGGACCTTGGATGATGGTGTCTCGACCAGCACGAAGACCAATTCAGAAGAGTAAGAAGGCTGAGCAAGCTTCTTCTGTGAAGACTAGGGGCAACCAGAAAGAGACACAGAGGGAAGGGTCCAGATTCAGTGTCCTTAATGAAGCGATGGAGGAAAGCCAGGAATCGGAAAAGGGACAACAGACACATCAACAGAGCAAGGAGAACATGGTGGAGAAAGTACCAGAGAATTTGAGTGGGGAAAATGCTACAAGTAAAAAGGAAAGATCTACCAAGGAAAACGAGGAGGACAAGACCAATAACACAACAGAGAAAATCATGAAGACCAAAACTCAGGGCAAGAAGGAAAACCAGAAGACTCCGGGGATTAACCAAAAGTAGAAGACTAAGCCTGCAACCGTTCCCCTGGTGACGAAGGCTAATCCCAAGATGAATGAGCAAAGTCAAAGTGCGAGTAGAAGCTCACCAACTGTTAAGGGTGAAGGGGCTAATGCCAAAGGAAAGGAGATAATGGGGATCAAGAACCAGGGGCACAAACCACACTACCTCAAAGGTTCTACCATGGGGAAGGAGAAACCAATATCCCCAACCCTTGTTTCAAACCCGAACAGACAGGAGAAAGAAAGTGTGAAAGAAGCCAAAAGCAAACCCCCTTATCCAGGGGAGTTACCTCCTAGGAAGCTGGACTTCGATGTTGGCATGGAGGATGCTTTACAAGGATCATAAAATATCCCTCCCTCGGATACTCACAAAGGAGGAGTTGACACGGGAGTAGAGGAGACGGCGATGGCCGTCGACATTGCCTGAATATCACCCCTGGCTTTCTGCAGGGAAACCACGCTTGTCATTTTCCAATGATTAAGGTATTTTCCTGGAACTGCAGAGGGGCGAGACACCCCAAGTTTAGGTCTTCTTTTGAGTTCTACAAGAGTCAGTACAAACCGAATGTGGTATGTATTGTTGAGCCTAGAATCAGCGGTGTTGATGCCATTGATGTCATAAAGACCCTAGGCTTTGATTCATGGAAAGTTTCTGATGCAAGGGGATATAGTGGGGGAATATGGATCCTCTACGACAGTACCTCAACCAAGATTACTAATGTTGACATACAGAACCAATTCATCCACTTCAAGTGTAGTATGGAAGGAGTCCCAGAATGCTACATGACTGCAGTTTATTCCAGCCCGAACGAGTTTGAGAGAACGAAGCTCTGGGATGCACTCTGCAGCATCAGCAGGCAAACCAAACTGCCTTGGTTGTTGTTTGGAGATTTTAACTCCATAACTAAACCCTCTGAGAAGCAAGGAGGAGCTAGATTCAATCCAGCAAAGGTGAAAGCCTTCAACAACTGCATTGAAGACTGTGGCCTCCTTGACTTAGGGTTCACGGGCCCTAGCTTTACTTGGTTTACAAGCAAGTCAAAAATCAAAGAAAGACTGGATCAGAGTCTCTGTAATGTGGCTTGGCAGCAAAGTTTCCCGGAAACAACAACCTACCACCTCACAAAGATCAGATCATACCATAGACCTATCCTCACCTGCAGTGATGGACCGGTGGACAAGAGCAATCTGGTGAGAAGATTCCAATTCTTGGCCTCATGGCTTAGCCATGAGGAGTTTAAACCTTTCGTCTCTGATTCTTGGAACGAGAACGACTTTGACTTTCTTCCTTCCCTACAGGTCCTTACTGAGAAGCTTAAAGAGTGGAACAAAGAGGTCTTCGGAAACATCTTCAAAAGGAAGAAAGCTTTGGCTAACAAGCTTAACTCCCCGGAATGGAAAAACGAAAGGAATCCCACCAACCACTCCCTTCTTGCTGAGCAGAGAATAAGGGAAGAGTTGGAAGAAACCCTGTGGCAAGAAGAAGTCATGTGGCTTCAAAAATCTAGGGAAACTTGGATCGGTCAAGGAGATCAGAACACTAGGTTCTTCCACACGAGCACAATAACTAGAAGGAAAAGAAACGAGATCAAAGGTTTGAAGAATGATGCAAACCAATGGATCACTGACCCTGAGGTACTCCAGATGATGGCTTGGGACTATTTTGTGAAGCTGTACACAAGGGAAGAGGGGAGGAGAAGCCATCCATTGCAGCTGACTTCCCTGAAGTGAACGAGGCGCTGCTTAATGGCTTTGCAAGACCTCCCATCCTGCTTGAAGTAAAGCAGATTGTGTCTAAGATGGGAGGACTGAAGGCACCAGGCAAAGATGGCTTTCATGCCATCTTCTACCAAAAGTGCTGGGATGTTGTTGGCCCTGACTTCAGCATGTTCATTGCCTCCTGCTTCATTAACCCTGAACGTATCAAGAGCATCAACGAAACCCTCCTGGCCCTGATCCCGAAAGTGGAGGCCCCTTGCTCCATGAATCAGTTTCGCCCCATTAGCCTTTGTAACGTGTCTTACAAAGTGGTGGCCAAGTGCCTTGCTGACAGGATTAAGCCTCTCATGCCCCAACTTGTGATATCCAATCAGTCAAGTTTCGTTCCTAACAGACATATATCTGACAATATCCTTATTTTGCAGGAGACTGTTCACTCAATGTCCAATAGAACGGGGAAGAAAGGCGCTATGCTGCTCAAGATAGACCTTGCTAAAGCTTATGATAGGCTAGACTGGAGGTTTCTTGAAGAAACACTTCATGCGGCCAAGATTCCAAATGATGGAATCAGACTTATCATGAGCTGTGTCACCACCACAGAACTGCAAGTTCTCTGGAATGGAGGAGAGACAGACAAGTTCACACCCAACAGAGGCTTAAGACAGGGATGTCCACTATCACCCTATCTCTTTACTCTTTGCATTGAACGATTAGGGCATTGCATTCTTAGGGAGGTTAGGAATGGTAGATGGAAACCATTGAAGCTGTCTTGTAAAGGACCTGAACTTTCTTACCTTTTCTTTGCTGACGACCTTGTCATCTTTGCTGAAGCTAGCCTAAGACAAGCTGAGGTGGTCATGGAATGCATTGAGCAGTTCTGTGAGGCTTCGGGTGAGCTCATAAGCAAAGAAAAGTCTCGTGTGCTGTTCTCTAAGAATGTGAAAACCTTTGATAGAACTTGCATTTGTAACCACCTTGGTATCCAGAGTACCAATGACCTAGGAAAATACCTTGGAGTTCCTGTTTTACACGGTAGAGTCACTAGAAATACCTACAGATACATTCTTGAAACTATTGACTCTAAACTGAGCTCGTGGAAATCTAGAACCCTCTCCTTGGCAGGGAGAGCCACCCTTGCCATTTCTATCTTGAATGCTATTCCGATTTATGCCATGCAAACCTCTTTTCTTCCTATGTCTGTTTGTGATGAAATTGATAAGAAGATTAGGGGTTTCGTGTGGGGTTCTCATGATGGCAAAAGAAAAACCCACCTTGTCAAATGGGAGGACCTTTGTAAACCAAAGGACCAGGGGGGCTTGGGTATTAGATCTGCCAGAAGCCTCAACATGGCTTTCATGGTCAAGTTGGCCTGGCAGATTTTGAATAATGAGAATTCCTTATGGGTCCAGGTTTTCCAGGGAAAATACTTCAAGCATAGGGATGGGAAGATCACCTCAATGAAGAAGAGTAATCACTCACCACTCTGGAAGGCAATCCTCAAAGCTATGCCATTGATGAAGTCTGCTACGTGTTGGAGTATCAGAAATGGACGAAGCACTAGCTTTTGGACACATCCGTGGTTGGAGGCAGGGCTGGTCCTGGAAGATTTCCTTCTCGTGGATATTCCAGAACATGAAAGGGAAGAACCCGTATGCAATTGGGCTACGAGTTCGGGAGAATGGGATTGGGAAAAGCTTGCTGGCAAGCTACCTAACGATCTACTTTCTCTTATTGCAGGTACCCCAACCCCTAAGCCTGACCTGGGTGAGGATACTACGATTTGGGGCATCGAACCTGATGGGCGATTCCGTCTCAAATCCGCGTATTATCTGGTGGCGAACGAGCTGGAGCAGGAGCATGAAGGGGACTGGAAGCAACTCTGGAGGTGGAAAGGCCCCAACAGAATCAAGTTCTTCCTTTGGCTGACACTGCACGGGAGATTGCTGACAAATCAAGAGAGAGTGAGAAGGAAGCTTACAACTGACGGAAAGTGCCCACACACGGCATGTAATGGCGAGGAAGAATCAGTCGAACACGTCATACGCAAGTGCAAGAAGACGGAGAACTTATGGAGAATGCTTAGACACTCTATCGCTGAACAAAGCCAGTCCACCCCCTTCAAGCAGTGGCTGGTCAGGAATATCAAATGAGAGGAGAAGGGTATTGATTTTGGCATCATCCTTTGGCAGATTTGGAAACAGAGAAATGAAGAAGCAATGGAGGAGAAAGCTTTCAACGAGCAGAGCCTTCTGCACAGGATTCTTGCTTATTTTAACATTGTTCGACAATCACAAGTCCTGAACAATAAGATTTGCAGTGAGGAGCCCATTAGAAAGGAGACTCAGAGTCTGGGATGGACTCCCCCACAGGAGGGATGGGTGAAAATCAACACTGACGGGTCTGTGTTTGCAGAAGACAAAGCTGCAGCAGGAGGCCTCATCAGAGATCCATTAGGTCGTTGCCTTGAGGCCTTTGCAATCAACCTGGGTTCCTGTTCAATCACGAGAGCAGAATTAAAAGCAGTGGAAGCGGGGTTCTCTGCAGCATGGAGAAGGGGATTCCGGCGTGTTATCCTCTGCCTGGATTCTACTACGGCAATCAACATCATTCAAAATGTGCAGGATACTGATCACAGACACGGCATTCTTGCCCTGGAAATCAATCGTCTGCTTTCATTGAACTGGGAAGTCTCTATCTCCCACACCTATAGAGAGTGCAATTTTGTTGCTGACTTTCTAGCCAAGAAAGGGCATAGTCTGCATTTTGGCACACATTTTGTTGACTCAAATGACCCAGGACTTCGGTACTGGTTATTGTATGATGGGTTTGTCCCAAGAACTTTCTGTTATTTGTAGTGCTTAGACACCATTGGTGTCTGTTTTATTACAAAAAAAAAAAAAGAATGTAAGTCAATGGCTTTGGCTCGATCCATGCTTAATTGTATAAGGTAGGCAGACAGTAAGTTATGCAGTTTGTCCAAGTTCTCACTACAAGATATTATGTCCAAGTGATGCCCATTTTGTCACATTGTTCTTTTCCATATCCTTTATACCAAAGATATTATGACCAAAACTTGTGGCAAAAATATTTTTGTCGTTGTTGTGACAAGTGTATATTTTCTTACCTTAACATTATTATGAACTCTTATTTTGTCACAATATATGGTCTATTGTGACAACACACAGAACGAAAAAAATGAGCCATAATTTTTTTTGTGGTGGTTCTAAAGTCAAGGGAGGTTATGGTTTAGTCGTTTAGGGGTTGAAGCTGAAGGCATCTAATTAATCAAGGATCTAGGGAAAGGTTAGAGAATGCTTTGTAAGTTTGGCCAATGAGTTATTACTTTGCCTACCACTGACCAACGACTAGGAATAATTTTACTCTATTTCAATGACTGAGCCTTCCAGGCAAGCCAAAAGGGCATGCTATTGCTGAGGCAGGACCAACATCTTGTTTCACATTGCTTGAACCAATTGGACAATGGTTAACAAATATTGTGGGTACAAAGGTCCAAATGACACTCTTAACATCGATGACGAAGGTCTGGTCTCATGCAAACAATGATAGACGTAGGTGTTTCGGTTGAGAATGGCGAAAATGGGAGCGTGCATTAAGCACCCTCTGGGCCAAACCAACACAAGGTTTGAAAAATACCAAGGCTTTATAAGTTACTAATTAAAAAAAAGGAAAGTGGTTGTTTGATTACCCAAAAATTAGTGCGAGTAGGCTAGAAATGATTATAAAAGATAAGAAATGTTGAATAAATTGTTTTATTCAGAGAATGGTTCAGTCTTGTCTATGCTTTGCATATTTCAGAGTGAGTTTGTATGGATCTCTGAATGAATAATTCTCGAAAGGAGTGAGACAAGTTGACCCCTGTTCTCTTTATCTTTTTACTATTGCATTAGAGCCTCTTTATGGTAATGTTATTAGGACTCTGCAATTTCCCTTTGGTTCAGGCATAATTAGTTAATTACACATGTTTTTGCCCCATTATCTTGTGATGTTTTTGGCGTTTACATCGCCCGAGGTTCGGTTTGACGCTAGGTTTGTGAGTATTTTAGCATGTTTCAGGTCTTAGCAGGTGTAATTCATCTTGGGAGAGAAAGCCGAACTAAAGAGGGCAAAAATGGAGCGAAATGGACAAAACGGCAGATATCACGGTCAAGGCAAAATTATCACGGGCCGGAGACCGTAAAGATGGGCAACTTCCATAAGAATTTTCACCTCTCGCGGGCCATTTAATTGTCATGGTCACCTGACCGTGATAAATTCTTATGGTCGTGGAGATGTGATAACGTCGTATTTGCACATGTTTGCACCCTCGTTTCTTGATAATTTTGGCTTGAGTTTTTGCTTTCTTGGACTATTTTACGCTAGGTTGTGTTCCTTTGTCACATTTCAGGTCCTAGCATGTAAATTGAAGCATAGGCGCAAGTTTCAAGTCAATCGGAATTCATTTGGCAATTCGGGAGAAGAAACACGAGCATGACCTAAGGAATAATGGATTTCTACCTCATATTATGGAAAAATTATCATGGAAGTTTGTTATGAAAAGAAAGAGGACGAGACTACGAGCGTCTGGGTTCAAATGGCAACTGATTCGGAGTCCGGACGAGGGAGAAACGAAACATTAAACATGAGCGGAGAAGAATTACGGGCAGGAGAATTACGACCGTATTTGCACCTCCCATGCCCGTATTTTCACTGCCGAGAGGAGCTTTGGGCGTGCTGAAACTTAACCAAAATGCGTGTTTTGGGCAAAATACGAGCATGGAAGAATTACGACCGTAATTCAGCCCGTAATTCGCCCAGAATCGGGTTTTTGAGGCAGATTCGAGCCAAAGGAGAGGGAGTCGACTTTTTGGAGCAAAAATTGAGTTTTAGAGAGAGAAAGTGCGAAGAACAAACCCTAGGAGCTATTTGGAGTGGATTTCTCACCATTGAAGCCCATATTGCATCCCTAGGAGTGAAGATTGACATCCCAGAGCATATTCTTCCCATTGTTATGAGTATGACTGCTTTGTATTCTGTTTCCCTCTCTCTCTCTCTATGGAGTAGAACTCTCTCTCACTTAGGTATGAAGAACCCTAGTTCCATGTGTTAGGAATCTTGATTGTAATTGCGTTTGGATTGTGATATTGCTTGATTATAATCGATTGAAGTGTTTTGAATGAGTCAATTGAAGTCTAATCACCTTTTATTGATTTCTGCTGCAACCTGAGATAAATAGAATCTGATTAGGTTGTTAGAGCTTCTTCAATCGGTAGTAGTGAATCGATTATACGAGAGTTAGTCGATTCAATGCTTTGTACTGGAATCTAATTCCAGTAGTGGAGTTCTGTGTTCATAGCCTCGGCTTTCTATCCTGGTGAAGACTAGTCGTCTGCCGGGTAGTTGGACTGAGAGGGCTTGGTCAGCTTAAGAGATTCCAAGCTACTGTCGGATCTTCCGCAGTATAATCAGCAGTAAAGCAACCAAAAGCAATTACAACTGGAACCTAACTAAGGAGCTAGGGGGACTCATTCCCGAGTGACTCTTCATTTGCTTCAGAAAACTGAACCAATTCCTGCTTTCTTACTGCTTTTACTTAAATCAACAATCACTTGACATAGTTAGCTAGATAATAGATATTCACGGAGTATGCAGTAGATCTAGACCCCGGGTTGACATTAGAGCTTGCCTGTTACTGCATTTTCGGGCTGCGATTACACTTGGTCGCAGTTTGGTGTTGTATTTTAGCGTGTCAAGATGATAACTGAAACGTTGTGTTTTGGGTCAAGATCACGGGTAAACTTCCAATGCCACGAGCGTGATATCTGACCGTGAAAAGTGCCCGACTAGTTTATATAAATAGAAGAAAGCTGAAACCTAAAAGAGAGAGTTCTAGAGTGAGATTGATATCTTCTTCTTCAATTAGAGAGAGAAAGTCACAAACCAAAGGAGAAAGAAGAGGATTTTGACCTATCCAAGGCTTGAAAAGTGGAGATTTCTCCTCCAAGGAGGCAATCTAAGAACTTAGAAGGGAAGAGAATCATCTTACCGTGTAGTTTCCTCCATCTTTGTTGTAATCCTCTTCTTAGTCGTGGAGTATTTCCCCAATTCACTTGAGTATTGTGAGATTTAGATGGTATAAATTGAACTCTGTGTGCGATGGGTTTGTGTTTAATATAATGTTTGAGGTAAATTTCATGATTCTTGAGTGTTGTTCTTCATATCTCAAAGTTAGGTCAAATTGACCTAGGTGGAGGAAATCCTCCTTTGGGCCATAAGAAGCTAGATTTCTTAGCCAATTGGGTAACCCCATTGACTCGATAAAGCCGACACAACCAAACTACAACCAAGTGTAATCGCAGTCTAGGAATGCAATATAGGGTTCATGTTCAAATTGTCAACCCCATTTAGTCCATTCAAATCTATTATCTAGCATTTGAATTCTAGAGAAGTGTTCAAAGTGATTCGGGTCCAATTGTACACATTTTATCCATGTTTTCCTTAGACGTTTGTAGCATTTGTACTCCGTGAGGTGTATTTTTACGCTAGGTTGCACTTTGTTTTAGTATGTTTCAGATCCTAGCAAGTGAAACGGACGCTGGAATCGAAAGTGGGACGAAAAGGAGCAAAAATGAGTCAAAGGGTGGAAGGAGTTGAGGATCACGGCAGAAGCTCACTTTTCAAGGTCTTACGGACAGTCATAAGAGAGCCTAGACCGTGAAGCGCCGAAGTTCTAGAACAGTTTGCACATCTCTCTCGAGCTCAACCAATTCACGGTTGCAAGATTGTGAGCTCAAGCCCAGACCATGAAAACACTTAGTGAAACGGTGCAGATTTGGTCGACATCACGGTCCAGGAAGGATGTTCACGGCCATGAACTGGGACCTTGAACTGGCTTCGACCTGGGTATAGAAGGAGGGCTGAGCTGAAGGAAAAATGGGAGAGACCTAGTGTGAGATATTTCTTCTTCTTCAGCTTTCTAGAGAAAGAAACTAACGAACCAAAGAAGAGAAGAGGTTAGGGTTTCATCTCAAATCAAGGTTTTGTGAATTTCCTCCTAAAAGGAGGATCTCTACACCACAAGGCAGGGCTGGGAATTTAGACCAAACTGTATGACAAACCGCGGTTTAGACTGTACCATACGGTCTGGTCCAAACCTTAAGACCGTGAATACAATTTGGTCTGGTCCATGGTCTGCCTCTTTAACTAGAGGTCTGAAACGGTTTGGTCTGGTCTAAACTGTGATTAACCGTCCAAACCGTGGCCAAAATTAACTGTGGGCTTACAAGTTGCAAAAGGGTGTACAGTTTAGAACTAATCAAGGTAATGGCGCCAGTCACTTTGGAATCAAGAGAGATGTGGGTATTGCTCAAGCCCAGGGGCCAAGTACTTCATTTTAGTCTGCGTATAAGTTCATTCCTCATGTGAAGTATAATAATATTGAAGTCAGAGAACATTTACCAATGCAATCCAGAAAATCTTTCAAGGACTCGAGCAAGGCAAATGGTAGTGCTGATGGAAGAAATACAAACCCATCTGTTAGTGTAGAAGATGCCAATATGAATACTTCATCTGACATCTGAGATGATGATCCAACAAGTACTGGCCTTAGGAATAACAACTGCATTATCCTCATCCAAGTAGAAGATCGAAGTATCTAAGCACAATTTCAAGGCTGAAAGGTCTGAAGACAAGTTCAAAATTGATCAGGTATGGGCAGTTTGAACTTCGAAGTGATGAATATACAATGTTGAACAAAACCTGTACCATCGCCATCGACCTCTAGCTCTGCCATCGACATCCTCCATGAACTTTTTTGTATGAGATGTCAAAATATTTTTTACTTACTAGCTAATATTTA